GAAGTAGGGTCTCCCTGTAGCCCCAGCTGTCCTGGAACTGCCTCTGCCTCCCGAGTGCTGGGATTAAAGGTGTGCACCACCACGCCCAGCTTCAGCCATCATTTTTGAACAATGGTGGGTTGTCTCCCTTAGCTATAGGTGGGCACTACAGTGTTGCAGACCGAGATTTGAAGTCTTACATCTGAGCAGCACTTTCTGATTAGGAACAAAATCATCAATGAGAAATAATTGTCTAAATAACTTTTTATATGGACTTAAGTCTAATGTCTGAGAAGTATAATCTTAAGTCACATTTTGAGTGCATCTTTGCTGTTACCATGGCGTTTGGATCAGTGAGTGCAGAAAGTTAAAGAGTGAGGTGATGGTGGAAACTTTGACCTTGATTGCTCAGCACATACTGCACTCGAAGTTGGGAGTCCTCGCTCCAGTGCGGTGATAGAAGTCAGGAGATGAGGAGTGAGGGAAAGTTTAGGTGTGAGGTCGGTTGCTTTTTAAGGGTGAGAATTTCTTTTTTTTGCTGAACTAGTCAGATATTTCTGTGCTTTAAAAGGACACATACCTGCCTTTCTGAACCTGAAAGAGAATACAGAACATCTCTCTGGCCCTCTCATACTTTCTATAGAAGGATGTGACATCAAAAACAATATCCTTTTCAATTATATGAAATGCAAGAATCAGATTTTTATGTAAGTTCAGGACCCAAATTAAATGTTTTTATTCAACCCATGAGTTTGTTTTCGAGTATAAATGTCAAACCAGAGTGTCTTGTTTGAAGGACGAGAAGATATAAAACTTTCTTTTCTATTTTGTAAGTAACTAGATTTTTGTGTTGGATTATTGGATAGTACACTGAATTTCTTTCTTGATTCAGTGTGCCTGAATAAACGAGAAGGGCTCTTTTTTTGTTGCTCATAAACCCAAATACAACTCTACCACTGAGTTCTAACAGTAGTCACATTTCAGGATCAAAACAGTATTTGATCAAGGTGATCAAGGTGCCTCTTCCACCCCTACTTTTCCCCAAGCTTTGGGTCTTCCTTTTATTTACTGATATCGTGGCCTTTTAAAGAAAATAAGATTGTAGGGTTACGCCAAGGGATAACCAAGGAAGGGAGCACTTTAGGGTGCAGCTCACTGTGACATTTGTTTCCTAGGGAGTGCAACCTTGAATTTGAATGCAAACAGTAATTCCATAGGTGTGTGTTGGCCTTTACACTGAGCCCTCAACCCAGACCCTGATGTAGGTCTTCTCATTCTGTAGATAAGCCAAAAGGCAAGTGCTCTACCACTGAGCTGTATATCCCCAGTCCTTGGCTGGCATAACGTTTGTGTGTCAGGGATGGCCTATGAGCGTGACCTTTGGCACCAGAAAGCTCAGGAGTTACTGTTTTGTTTTGGTGTTTTTAAGACAGGGTCTCCCTGTAGCCCCAGCTGGCCTAGAACTTGCTATGTAGACCAGGCTGGACTCGATCTCAGATCTACCAATCTCTGCCTTAGTGCTGGTACTAAAGGCCAGTATAGTTGCGTAATCTGGATGGAGTTGCTCAACCATTGGTCTTCAATTCAATTCACTTTAAACAGGTTTTTTCTTTTTGCTTGATTGATTTACTACAGATCAAAGTCAGGGCCTCCTATATGCTAGGCAAGCACTTTACTGTTGATGTAGCTACATCCTATAGTCCCTATGAAATAGTTTTTAACATCTATCTCCTAGGATTGTTAAAAAAAAAAACACATTAGATGACAAGTGTAAATTACCTGGTATTCCTTAAGTAAATGTTAATTCCTGGTTGTATAAGGAGGATGGCCCTGGTGAGCCATCCTCCTATTCCTCGAAGAGAGCTTGGAGGTATATGTGAGTATGGAGGGGTATGTTGGTGTGTGTAGGTGTGCAGGCCTGTGCATTCGCCACAGGCAGAGGAGGATCCTGGATGTCTTGCTCTGTCACTGCTTACTTTATTCCCTTGAGACAGGGACTCTCATGAACTGGAGCTTGTCGGTTTTTTCAGCCAGACTGGGTGGTCAGCAAGCTCCAGCAGTCTTCCTGTCCGTCCCTCTCTTCCCCCAGTGCTGGGGTTACAGGCGTACTGACCTTTATCTGAGTGCTGGAGGCCCAAATGTAGGTCCTCATGCTTGCACAGCAAATACTTCCACACTGAGCCATCTTCTCAACCCCTCAGAGCTAGTTTTAACCTTCTGGTGCCTGGTGGCTGCCTTTTTGCACCTCCACGTAGCCCTTTTGTGGTCCTTGGTATTCCCCCCCCTTCTTCAGACCTATGGGAGTCGTCACATTGTACTAGAGAAAGAGGAAACAGAAGAACTGAAGCGGTTTGATGAGCCAGGTTTGATTCTCATCGGCTTTAAGCCTCTGGCAATGCTGAAGCGGCACCAGCACCTGAGGCCCTCCCTGTTCGTGTACCCCGAGGAGTCCCTGGTCAACGGTGAGTGCGAGTGCATAGACAAGGCCTCTTTGCTAAATGAGTACTGCTTGGACCCCATACAGGAGGTGCTAATGGGTGGCTGGAAAGTGTATCTCTTTTTTTTTTTTTTTTTTAAATAATTTATTGAGAATTTCATACAGGCATATAAGGTGTTTTGATCAAATCCATGCCCACTCCCTCCCCTCCAACTCTTCCCATATCTCCCCATCACTTTTTTCTGATAATTTCATGTGCTTTTCTTCTTTTATTTATTTATTTATTTTTAGTGTCTCATGTTTGCAAAAGAAAAAGGAAATAGAAAATGTTTCGTGTTCAAATTTTGGGAAACTAAAATTGAGACTAAAGTTAAATTTCTTCTAGAACCTTAATAAACTGGCATGCATTATAAAAAATCCAGGTGATGATTGGAATTTTAGGTTTTAAAAACTTTAATCCTATGGAATTACATAAAAGATGAGATAATAGAACAAAATTCAAACCCAGGACACCCCCTCCTACTAAACCTAAAGAGGTTTCTCTAGTGCTGGCAGTTGAAGAGGACGTGAATTCTGCCGCAGTGTGTGTTGTGCACCTCACAAGGAGCCCTCTCCATACCTTAGTGCTTTCCATTAGTGCCTGAAGTTCATCCCGTTAGCCTCGTATTAGTACATGAGCTGACACTAACCATTCTCACTCCCAAAGTGAGTGGCTGAGCCTTTGGACCTGGTTGCGTCTCTTTCTCTCCTCTCTGTGCTCCTTCCGCCCCCAGCTTTCCATCAGTTCTGGGTCTTCACCATTTACTTACTGATGTCATGGCCCTTTAAACAAAATGGAAGATTGTAGGGTTGTGCTAAGGGACGAGGGGGAAAGGAGACAAGCACTTTAGGATGCCGCTCACTGTGCCATTTGTTTCCTAGGGAGCTCGACCTTGTTCAGTGCTCTGCTCACCAAGTGTCTGGAGAAGGGGGTCATAGCAGTGTGCAGATACACACCTCGAAAAAACATCCCCCCGTACTTTGTGGCTTTGATGCCACAGGAGGAGGAGCTGGATAATCAGAACTTTCAGGTGACTCCACCAGGTACGTGGTAGAGAGATCCAGGGCTCTGGAGCCTCACCTGTGCTTTGGAGTCCCTTAGGGGTCCCAGTTCAGATCTGCTGAACCGTAGTCTAGAATCATCTGGGAAATGTGTGCTTTTAAGGTGAGTGTGATGCACTGCCAGGTAAGGCCATCAGAGACAGTTGTGCCGTGCATCGTGTGCACAACCACATTAGACAGCTCCTTAGCTAGACTGTTTGCAGAGTGATGTCTGCTGCAGATTTCAGGGTGTCTCTGCTGACACTGAAAACTATTGCTTGTCATCCGTTGCCAAGCTTAGTGTTCAGTTTCTGTCCTGTAATTGAAAGGCAGTGTGGCAGAGTGGAGAAAGTGGATTTTTGAAGTCTTGACTTTGTCTCTCTCCCTCTGGTTTTTTGAGACAGGGTCTCACTGTATAGCCCTGGCTAGCCTGGACCTCGCTGTGTAGACCAGGCTGTCCTTAATCTCATAGAGATCTGCCTGCCTCTGCCTCTTGAGTGCTGGGATTAAAGGTGTGCTCTATCATTCCTGGCCTTGACTTTGTCTCTTTTGAGACTTTTCTTGGAGACAGCCTCACTATATAGTCCTGGCTGACTTTGAACTTGTGATCCTCCTGCCTCAGCCTCCTGAGTCCTGTGATTGTAAGCATGTACCCCTATGTCCAGCTTTGACTTTGCTTTATGCTTGTGTGTCTGAAAGCTCTCTTTTGTTTGGACCCACTGGTTAGCTGGTCAACTTGGGCACACAACCTTTCTATTCTTTGTCTCAAAGTTGCTTTATATTTAAGATGAATAGGGAATAAAATGTGCTCATGCCTGGCACACAGCTGTCACCCATGGTAGTCCTCCTCCTCTGAGCATGGTAATAGAAATGAATTTTATCAAGTTATCCGGGAGATACTTTTAGCTGTGGTCATTAGAACACTCAGGTACTAAGCCCTTGTCTCTCAGCGGCAGTTCACTGTGTCATGCCCTGTGCTGCTAGCTCCACGTCCATGTCTGCAAAGAGCAGAGACAAGGACCTGCTGGTCCTGCTTGCTCCCACAGCACTGCTACCAAGGTCCCTTTACCTGGCAGTAGCGCTGGTTACGGAGGCTGGATTTTTAGTCCTCCTGGAACCATGTAGTAACTGGACCAAGATCTGCATGACACCCCTTACCTTCCCTTTAACGTATGCTGGAGGGTGGAGTTAAAATGGGGAAAGATGAAGCTCAGAGGAGAGCCTAGGGGAGCTGGGATTTAGCTCCCCAAGGAGGAGACAATGGCCAGCTGGCTCTGGATTAGCAAACAAGCAGGAGTTTGGAACCAACTACTGCTACCTGGCAGTGCTGGCAGTGGCTCCTTGTTGGGGCAATATGGACAGAAACAGTAAACACACAGAGAGGTGCCCCTCCTCCTTGTCAGACTCAACCGTGCATCCCCAGAGAAAGGCCGACTTTCATGGGTGTTCTCTGGTGAGGAGAAATGGGATTTTGAGGGCCTTGGGTCCAATATCATAGGATGCAGAGGGGTGAATGTGAGCTGAGAGACGAGCAGCTGCTCAGATCTCAGAGCCCATCTCCTTTCTTCAGGCTTCCAGCTTGTCTTCCTCCCCTATGCGGATGATAAGCGGAAGGTGCCCTTTACCGAGAAAGTGATGGCCAACCCAGAGCAGATAGACAAGATGAAGGCTATAGTTCAAAAGCTCCGCTTCACATACAGGTGAGCACTACTACAGGTGAGCACTGGTCCACCAGTTTCACATACAGGTGAGCACTGGTCCGACACTTTGACGCATAGGTGAGCACTGGGGTCAACTGCAGGCTTATTTCTGGAGCTGTCTACCAAGTTGAATCCTGTCAGAAATTCATGTTAGACATGGACAAAGAGAATGTGATTTTATTTTCAGTTAGCCCAAAAGAACAGATCATTAGGTCATTATTTATTTTTTGTTTGTTTTGTTTTTGAGAGAGTTTCCCTGTAGTCAGTCCCAGCTGGCCTGGAACTCATTATATAGACCAGACTGGCCTGGATCTCACAGAGATGCATCTGTCTCTGTCTACCTCTTGAGTGTTGGGATTAAAGGTGTACACCACCACACCTGACCAGATTATTACTTGTTACCAATAACTTTTTTTTTTTAATTTTTAATTTTTATTTTTTATGAATGAGTATAGTTCCTTTGTGTGTGTAAGTGCACCCATGTCATGCAATGCCCACAGAGGTCAGAACAGGGCGTAGGATTCCCTGCAACTAAAGTTATGGATGGTTTTTAGCTGTTTCTCCAGCCCGCACCAAGAACTTTTTAAAAAAAGTATGTAGAACTGGTTCACTTACATATAAGCAGTATACTCATACACATAAAAATAAAAGTAATAAATAAAATATATATTTTTAAAAGTGCATAAAGGGGCTGGAGAGATGGCTCAGTAGGTAAGAGTGCATGCTGCTCTTTCAGAGGACCAGAGCTCAGTTCCCAGCCACATATATGGCAGCTCACAACCATCTGTAACTCCAGCTCCAGATGATCCAATGCCTTCTGGCCTCTCTGGGCATCTGCAAACACGTGCACACATAGACTGACATACATACACATAAATAAAAATAAAATCTTAGGGACTAGAGAGATGACTTAGTGGTTAAGATCACTGGCTGCTCTTGTAGAGGACCTGGGAATTCCTAGCACCCACATGGTAGCTAACAACCATCTATAACTCTAGTCCAGGGGATCCTACACCCTCTTCTAGCTTCCTTGGACATTGTACAACACGGATGAGCTTATATACATGCAGGCAAAACACTCATACACATAAGATAATAAAATTAAAATTTTTTTAAATTAAAATTTTTTTAAGTACATAGAGAATTAAAGTTCTGATTATATTGATTATATTTTAGAATATTTTTATTCCAAAGAGAGGCAATTTTTAACACATTTTTCGAGAAATAACTTGAAGCAGATTATGTAAAAAAAATATATATAATAAAATTTAAGTGGAAAAGTAGGGATAAGAAATCAAAGACCAAAGCCAGGCATCCTGCACGTCTTCAATCCCAGCACTTGGGAGGCAGAGCCAGGCAGATCTCTGTGAGCTTGAGGCCTGCTGGGGTTACAGGAAGACCCTGTCTCAAAAAAGACCAAAACAACAACAACAAAAAATCAAAGACCAATGGATTTGCCAACATGGGGTCAACTTTGGTGAAATAATGAGGGTTTCCATTAGCTCTGGTTTTTTTTTGTTTTTTTTTTTAAATCCTAACTAGTTTATTGGGCTTGTCAACAGAGCATAGGATTGAGGTTTATTTACAGAAAAGTGGGCATCCCCCATTTACGGCTGCACTGGAAAGTCCACACTCAAATATAGGTCCTGTGACTTCCCGACAGCTGCCCAATATGGCTTATATATCCTTAGCCCTTCCCCTACATGCAGCTATGGCCGACTGATTGGGTGGGAGGGGTAACTGACTCCCCCCTCGACTCCTTGATGAGCATGGGAAGGAGGTGTGACTATAGCTTGCCAGCATAGTGGTGGCATAGTGGTCGGACTCTTGTTTTTTTGATCACAGTCATCTTCAGAGATGACAGGTGATGGTTCATCATGGTTTTCATTTGTTTTCCTAGTGACGGTACAGCTAAACGTCTGTCTGCTTGTTGGCCATTTCAGTGTCTTTGGAGATAGCTTATCATATCATGTTCCTAGTTGGTTTTTGTTTTGTTTTAATTTTTGAGACCATATCTTGCTGTATAGCCCAGGGTGTTGGGAGTGTTGGGATTACAGGCATCCATCACCACACCTGGCTCTTAGTCCCATGGTTTTCACATTGCATCTTTTGTACCTGTGCTACTTCTACTTCTGGGCACATAGTACATTTTGTTGGGTGTGGTGCTATGTGCCTGTGATCCCACCACTTGGGGAAATAGAGGAAGAAGCATCAGAAGCTCAAGGTTGTCTCTGGTATGTAGTGAGCTTGAGTCTAGATGAATCCATGAAACCCTATCTCCAAAAAAAGTCTTTTTTAATGTCTTAGCACAGTCCTTTCTGAGCAAATGGGAGCATTAAGAATCTACCATGCAGGACTATGCAAGGCACTGGATTCGATCTGAGGCACACACATGCAATTTCAAAAAAATGTGGGAAGGGTTGGTTTGTGCCCGTTTTACAGATGAAACAGGCTTAGACGCACAAGGCCCCTTTCTCAGTCTCCTCTAACTAGAACAGAGGTGGAGACAGGATTCACGCCGTGTGTGCATGACTCGGGTTGTTAGTTCCTGCTCTCCATACACTTGTGTTCTGAATCCCCCATCCCCTCCATCCATCCTTCATCATTCTGTCTCCTCTGTTTCTGTCTCTGCCCACAGCATCTAGCAACAGGCAAGTAAGTGCACAGGTTTGCTTTGCAGCTGACTTTCACATCACCATCATCCAGTAATAAATTGAAATTGGAGAGAAAGGAGTTGATCTAAGGTTTTTGTCTCCTCAGGATCTTTTTCTTGGCTGGCCTGGGACCTGCTGGATATGTAAGATTACTGTTTCTGTGTCACTGTTTTGACAGGAGTGACAGCTTTGAGAACCCGGTGCTGCAGCAGCACTTCAGGAACCTGGAGGCTTTGGCTTTGGATATGATGGAGTCTGAGCAAGTGGTCGATCTGACATGTAAGAAACTTCCAAGCCTAGTTGTTTGGCAGTACTGGGGATAGAACCCATGGCCTTACCTGCACTAGGCAAGCACTCTACCACTGAGTTCGCAGCCCAAGAAGGTGTTTTTTTGTTTTTTTGTTTTTGTTTTTGTCTTATTGAGACAAGGTGTCCTTGTAGCCCCAGCTGTCCTGGAACTTACTATGTAGACCAGGCTGGCCTCGAACTCACAAAGATCCACCTGCCTCTTGCCTCCCAAGTGCTGGGATTAAAGGTGTACGCCACCACGCCCAGCCCAAGAAGGTATTTTTAAATTTTAAATCAGAGACCTGGCTATGGCATTGAGACCCTATCTCAAAAACTCCACAGGGTTGGGGCTCACAATGGAGGATCGCTTCTGTTTTGCTATATATCCTTAGGCTAGGGAGTGGACCCATTTTTCTACGCCCTCCTTACCTCCTTGTCCAGACCTTCTCTTTTCTAGATCAGCTCAGACTGCCTGGAACAGATTTGGCCAGCTCTGCTATGACAGGAGGAAAGAGCATCAGGCTCCCGAGCCTCTCAACTGCATGTTGGTGAAAGCTGATATTTATAACGTTTGCTGAGTGCCTGTGGTGCAGCAATGCCAGGCACTGTCATCCCAGGTGTTAGCTCATTGAATCTTCATAATTCGGAAGAAAGCCTGTCCATATTTTACATAAAAGGGAATGATTTGCCCAGGTTACAGGTACTAAGTGATGGGTCTACATTTGGCATCCAGTGAATCCCTCCTGGATTCCTTATGCTTGCCTGAAACGAGCCTTCCTTTCAAGCTGTGCTCTGGCCTGAGAAAAACCACATTACCATCTAGAATGAGCGAGCTTTTTGCCTCCCAGGCCTGGGCTTCTCTGGCCCTACTATTCAACCCCCTTCTTTATTTTTTATTTTCTGTGTATGAATGTGTTGCCTGCATGTATGTAAATGCACCTGTGTTGTGCAATGCCCATGGAGGTCAGAAGAGGGTATTGGATACCCTGGAAGTGGAGTTATGGATGGTTGTTGGGTACCATGTGGGTGCTGGGTCTTCTGGAAGAGCAGCCTGTGCTTTTAACTGCTGAGCCATCTCTCCAGCCCCTCAACCCCTAATTATGATGCTCTTACATGTCTATAAGAGGACATAGGCAGTTCACTGACAGTGAAGTAAACATTCACTGGGAAGCAGATTGGATTCAATGAAGATCTTTTTTTTTTTGTTTTGCTTTGTTTTTTTTTTTATGTGTATGCGTGTATTGCCTGCATGTAGGTAAGTGCACCTGTGTCGTGCAATGCCTGTGGAGGACAGAAGAGGCTGTCGGATCCCCTGGGACTGGAGTTATGGACAGTTGTTAGCTGCCATGTGTGTGCTGGTATTTGAACCTAGATCTTCTGCAGGAACATTCAGCATTCTTAACCCCTGAGCCATCTCTCCAACCCCTAAGATCCTTGTTTTGTTTTTTGTGTTTTGTTTTGTTTTGGTCTTTTTGAAACAGGGTTTCCCTGTAGCCCCAGCTGGCTTGGAATTCACTATGTAGACCAGGCTGGCCTCGAACTCACAGGGATTCACCTGCCTCTGCCTCCCAAGTACTGGGATTAAAGGCATGTGCCACCATGCCCAACCTAAGATCCTTTTTTTAAAAAATATTTTTTATTACTTTTATGAGTGTATGAGTGTATTGCTTGCATGTATATAAGTGTACCCATATCGTGCAGTGCCCATGGAGGTCAGAAAAGGGCGTCAGGGGGGCTGGAGAGATGGTTAAGTGATTAAAAACACTGTTCTTGCAGGAAACCCGGGTTCGAATCCCAGCACCCACATGGCAGCTAACAACTGTCCATAATTCCAGTGCCAGGGGATCCCACGGCTTCTTCTGTCCTCCACGGGCATTGCACGACACAGGTGCACTTACCTGCATGCAGGCAATACACACATACACATAAAAATAATAAATAAAATATTGAAAAAAAAAGGGGCATCAGATCTCCTGGTACTGGAGTTACAGATGGTTGTTAGCCTCCGTGTGAGTGCTGGGAACTGAACCCAGGTCCTCTTAACCACTGAGCCAGCTCTCCACCCCTGAAGATCCTTATAAAGGTTAAATGGATCAGAGCAAGTAGTTTGGCCTGTGTAGCTTGCAGGTTATTCATCACACCTTTCATACCAGGCTGTATTAAGAGCATACACCACCATACATTATTGTGGTGACCGTTAAGACAGAGTGCTCTTCTGCTCCATGTTTAGGCAGATGAGGAAGTACTACCTCTATGTCCCCAGCTTCCATTTGAAGTACGAGAGAGGATGTGTGTATAGGACATATGCAGATCCTATGCCATTTACATAAGGGACTGGTGCTTTGCAGGGTTGGTCTAGAACCTTACACATGCTGAGGGACAGCTGTATATGGTGAATGCTAAGATTTTGCTGAATATTTTCATGACCTGTGAACTCCTTGTATCTGGCCCTCCCCTCCCACCTGACTTGGTATTATCTTCTGTTTCCTAAGAGCTGGCTAGAGAGGACCCTGGAGTGCAATTCATCTAGCCACTTTTCTGTGTTTTGATTTTCTAGTGCCCAAGGTTGAAGCAATAAAGAGGAGACTGGGCTCCCTGGCAGATGAGTTTAAAGAACTTGTCTACCCACCAGGCTATAATCCTGAGGGAAAAGTCACCAAGCGCAGACAAGGTAAGGAGCTGGGTGTGAAAGTGCAGTGGGTTCCTTTAAAATGCTGCCCTTATGGTCTTTACGGACTTATCACAGAAGATAATGTCCTGTCAGACATTTTTGTCATGACGAGGGGCGGGGGGATAGAGGTATTAGAGATCGAATTCAGTACCTCACATACACTAGGTAAGCACTGTTGCTGAGCTGCATCCCCAGCCTTTTCAGAAATTTGTATACATGGGAGTAGTGATGTGGCCCAGTGTTAAATACTTAACCTAGACATTTCTATACAAATGTGCCTATTTTAGCACAGATGGAGTATTTATATTTTTGAATTTCTTTCATTTATTATGATTTCATGTGTGTGAGTTTTTTGCCTGGGTAAATATAAGTGCACCACATGTGTGCAATATCCAAAGAGGTTAGAAGAGGGCATCCATCAGATCCCCTGGAACTGGAGTTATGGACAGTGGTTAGCTGCCATGTGGGTGCTAGGAACCAAACCTGGGTCCTCTGCAAGAGCAGCCAGTGTTCTCAACCACTGAGCCGTCTCACAGATGGAGTATTTATATTGTTTTCTAGTCTCTTTTTTTTTTTTCTTTGAGACAGGTTTCTCTGTAACCCCAGCTGGCCTGGAACTTGTTATGTGATTAGGCCGGTCTTGATCTCAGAGATCTACTTGCCTCCACCTCCTGAGGGCTGGGATTAAAGGTGTGTGCCACCACTGGCTTAGTCAACTGTTTGTGACTCAGCTTTTTCTATTAGATACTATACCCTCTGTGTGTGTGTGTGTATGTGTGTGTGTGTGGTTTTTGGGGTTGTCTTTTTGAGAGGGGGTCTCCCTGTAGCGCTAGCTAGCTTGGAACTCAATTTGCAGACCAGGGTGGCCTCAAAGTCACACAGATCTGCCTGCCTCTGCCTCAGATTACAGGTGTGCACTACTACACCCGGCTCTCGTTTTTAAAAATTTAAACTTTATTATTATTGTGTATGTGTGTGCATGTTGTGTGTGTGAGAGAATGTGGGTATGTACATGCCATGGCACACATGTGCTTATAAGACAACTTTGTAAAGTCAGTTCTCTCTTTCCACCTTTGCGTGGGTTCTGGGGCTCAAACAGTGTCAGACTTACATGGTAAGCCCTTTTATTCAGTGAGTCATTTAGCTGACACTCTTCCTCATTTTTAAAAATTAGGCAGCCAAGTATAGTGATACACACTTTTAGTCCCAGCTGTCCAGAAGCAGAGGCAGGTGGATCTCTCTGAAATCAAGGTCAGCCTGGCCTACATACTAAGTTCCAGGACAGCCAGGCTACACAGTTGAGTCCCCCCATCTCCCTCCCCCAAAATTAGGCTGCAGAGGGTAGATGAGATTGCTCATCGATTAAAAGAACTTGTCGTGCAGGGAATTCCATTCCCTGGGGCCCACAGAAAGGTGGACGGAGAGGCCTGACTTCATAGGCTATCTTCTGATTCACACATATACATGATGCTCACACCCAGTCAAATCTTTCTTAACTAGGCTGCAGGGTACATAGAGAGTGTTTCAGTGACTAGGTGTCCCAGTTTATTTGATAAGACCTCTCATTGATGCATATACTACAGTGAACACAAACAATCATTGTGTATTTGTATGAGCAGATCAGTAGAACAATTCTTAGCAGTGGAGTTGCTGGTCAGGAAGTATACTTTTTTTTTTTTTTTTGCTCTTTTTGAGACAGCGTCTCCCTGTAGTCCCAGCTGACCTGGAGCATGCAGTGTATGTAGACCAGGTTGGCCTTAAACTCACAGAAATCTGCCTGCCCCTACTTCCCAAGTGTTGGGATTAAAGGTGTGTGCCACCACATTGGCTATTATTTTAAATTTTTACAAAAATTAAAGGTAGAGGGAATGGATGTCCTGCTCTGATGTGTAGCTCTCCAGTTAGGAGTAAGATGTGGTTTCATGGCTTTTATGTTTCCTCTGTACATACCTGTTATTGGCATTGACCATTTTTCCTTTGAGACAGCCTTTTTATTACTGATGGACCCAGAGTTTCCTTGAGGCTCACATTTGTTGAGATCACCTTGTACAAGGTCACCATTTTGGAATAGTTCTGGTTTAGGTTATGATCCTTTTGACTATCTTTGGCCAAATAAAGCCACATTTAGGCTTTGCTTGCCTAATAGACCTGTGAGGAAAGGCATGGTGAGAGGTCAGATCGGTGGCCATAGTGCTTTCTCTATTTTGCACCAGAATGGACTCCTGTGGGAAGTTCCCAAGGGAGCTCTTCCTGCACTGCGCAATGCATTCATCTCACCCTGCGTGTTCTTATCTCTTGGTGCCTTGGAACCCATACAGTGTCTGTAAGTGGTTTTTCCCTTACCCCTTGGAGTTGCTGGCAATTAACCCAGAGCCTTAAGCTGCTAGGCAAGCACTCTGTCACTGTGCTGTATTTCCAGCCCCTGAAACTGTTTGGCTCACACAGAATGAGCAGCTATTTTAGGTAAGCTGATGGTAAACTATAACTCAGATCATGAGGTCCCATGTCGTAGCTGGGAAACCACTGCCAGATTTCTAGTCATTCCTTCCTGCCCTTCTTCTCCAGATGATGAAGGTTCTGGAAGCAAAAAGCCCAAGATGGAGTTATCTGAAGAGGAGCTGAAGGCCCACATTGTCCAGGGCACACTAGGCAAGCTCACTGTGCCTGCACTGAAGGAGGTCTGCAAGGCCCGGGGGCTAAAGAGTGGGCCCAAGAAGCAAGACCTGCTGGATGCTCTCAGCAGACACTTCCAGAAGAACTGACTGGAGGTCACTTGCAGCCACCCTCCCCGTCACGGCCCGGCTGCCTGCATCATCACACTCTCATCCGCCTTCCCTGTTATGGCCAGGCTGCCTGCATTACATTGGCATCCGCCTGCTTTTGGTCTCACCAAGTAAGCAGGTGTTTCTCCTTACTACAAAGAGCTGCCTGACAGAAATGCAGAGACTTTACATTTATAGGACCTCTTGTTGCCATGGAGACTGCCCCCCCCACTGTGCCTTACTCTACTGTGTGAATAAAGAGCTCCAACTTTGTACTACATAGTGTTTATTGTGAAGGGTAGAGGTATCTGCCTCACATCTAGAGATCACTAGTCATGGGCTCTTAGCTCAATTTTCTCTCCCACTGGAAATACATATCACAGTGGAAATAAAACACACTGGTGGAGGTCAGGGGCAGTGCGACATTAGGGACAAGTGAATTGAACATAGTGGTTCTTCAGGGGTGGTAAGCCGAAGCAGGGTTGTTTGCCTGATCCTTTGTCCTCTATCTGCTTCCTTTAAATGTGTCGTTCGAAGGTATAAATTCCAATTTCAGAAGCCAAATGACTAGCGTTTCTAATTCTGATAGTTTGCGTCATTACTAACAGCAAGTCCTTCAGATTGTGCTGCTGTTATGACATGAGAGGGAAGTTGTATCCATTTTCTGCTGCCCTAGAAATTTGGTTCCAGTTTAGGTAAAACCTTCCTCTTTTTCATGGGGGCACAGGAAGTTCAAGAAGATAAGGGGGGTGTCTTTCCCTTGGTGCTGTCCTCTCCCTGCTCCATCTTCCCCTTTCTTTCCCTGAGGAAAGGAAGCTTTTAGAAGGCTTTGTATGGTCTGAGGGGGGCATGGGATTCAGGGTTAGAGGGTCCTGGTCTGAGGGGGGCCTGGGACTCAGGGTTACAGGGTCCTGTGTCTTTCAGGACGAGAGGGAGCCTTACCCCATGAAGAGGGTAGAGAAGGGGCTAAATTCCTTGGTTAAGAAATGTCCATCTCGCTGGGTGTGGTGGCACACGCCTTTGATCCCAGCACTTGGGAGGCAGAGGCAGGCGATCTCTGTGAGTTCAAGGCCAGCCTGGTCTACATAGTGAGTTCCAGGCCAGCTGGGGCTACAGGGAGACCCTGTCTCCAAAAGCATAATCAAATCCACTACCCAAGGCCTAGGATAAGCGCTTTAGGTGATATTTCCCTGTAATTGATGTGGGCTTTCTTTACCTTTTGTGATACTTAGGAAGAAACACTCAATTCAATGGAATTGGGCTTTGGGAAGTCAACAAGATAAACAGTAAATTTACATCTTGGCCCTAGTGCATTCAAATACGTCACTTTTGGGAACTTATCTGGCATTTCTGAACCTTAAAAAAATGTTTCTAGTTTCCTCTTTTCTGTAATAATAAGGTGCTGTGGCCCAAATAAAATCAGGAACAGCACAAGGTGCTACTTCCTAACTTCTTCCATACTTCGATCCATCAGGTAGCACCATGGCGAGCTCTGGTTGGGAACATGGACCTGAGCATGTGCTCCATGTCTGGCAGTCCCTGCCTCCCTTTGGGTGTGAATTCGAGTAGACTGGAAGGATGACGGGGGCATTGTGTGGAACTATGCAAGAAGAGGATTCCTTACAGAGGAAACTGGACCAACCATATGCCATATGCTTATTATATACCTGAATGAACATCAAGGACTTTCCAAAATAAAACGTTTACACAGAAGTTTGGAGCCAACTTTGTTGTAAGTGGTTGGCTTCAATGAGAGGACTTCATCCCTAGGCTTAGGATCGATCCAGCATACACTTCCTTCCACAGAGTGTCTGTGAGAGTATTGCTACATGTAGGTGTTAGGGCACTCACATGCACCTGCTATGTAATAAGAGACTAGAAAATGCCAGACACTGGCTTAACTTCAAGGTTAGAGACTGTTCCAGAGCTAAAGGGGAAAAGAAAGCGTGACAGCAGCTCGCTGTATTTCAGTCATGGCCATGAGAGGCCTCGCAGTAAATGAGCATCAAGTGCAAAGGGCTTGAGAACGGAAGAGGTGTGCATGGAATGCAAAAGGTGGAGCTGGTGAGCCCGGGGTTTGCAGGTGATTACAAATCCATGCTTCACTGTGGGAACTGATGTTAAGACTACACAGCAAACTGGACCCTAGGGCAATCTGAGGAGCTCCAGACCAACCTCCCTTGTTAGGGCTCTTTAAGTAGACCTTAGTTTCCATTTGGGTTGTGGGGTTGTCTGTGTTTGTAGTGCTGAGGGTAGGGAGGTCAAACCTAGGGCTTTGAACAAACTAAGTGATGCTCTACCACTGAGCTACGTTTCCCGAGGTTGGATTTCTTCAGCCCCACTATCCACCAGATTGCTTATTTGGACTGTGATTATATAACAAACTTACAAGTGAGAACTACCTAAGACTCCACCACCCACAAATAACTAACCAAGTTCCCTGGGACAGTAGAGATGCAAACACTGGAGTTAGAAATGACTGGCCCAGTAGGTAAACAGGTCCTCAGCAACTCAGATGGTTCTTAGGTCACCTGTCTCCAAGTGTGGTCCCTGCTGGAGTGGACAAATTGGCCCAAACAGGCCCCGTGAAAACTGTCATTTGGCCACAGTACCCAGTACCTGGCACAATGGAAGAAAATTTCTGCAACTATACAGATGTAAAGTTCACAAGGCAAGAGGGCAGCGGCTCCAGGAACCAACTAAGTCTGCATGTGCCTGATTTTTGCAGCAGTGGTTTTCCATTGTGGTTGAGTGCGCTGTGTTGCTACTGCCATCTACTGGGCAGAGGCTGCCAAGCAGCCTGCATTAATTAAGGTGGTACCTACAAAAAACCAGCCCAAAATGTCAATAGTATTAAGAAATCCTGTTTTAGCCAGGTTGGGCATGGTGGCACACGCCTTTAATTCCAGCAGAGGCAGGGGAGATCTCCCACCTGGTCTACCCAGGCCAGCTAGGGTACACAGAGACCCTGTCTCCGAACAAGAAGAAATCCTACTCAAGTGAAAGCAACACTTCAATGACTGAGTTCATATAAGAGAATTCAGAACTGCCAGACCAGGAACTATTTGACAGGGGGTGACAATTTTACACAGCCTTAGTGAAAAATTCTAACTGGTCTGGGAAAGCAGCTGTGATTGGTATGTGCTTGGCTACACCAATTTGCAATATTTGACATGTGCAAGGCCCTGGGTTCAATACCCAGCACCAAGTAAAACAAGACAGCTGGGTCCTATAAGGTGAGTGGTAGCACTCCAGAAGCCCTGACCTCAAGCCCCCACACGCTGAAGCATGTGTGCTAGTGCACGTGGGCAATCCCAGTATGTGAAGCAGAGACCAGAGGATCTGATAGTTCCAGGCCAGAATGGTCTACACAGAGCCACATCTCAATGCCCCTCACCTCCAAAAAGTTGTACCTACTCTAGTAATGCTAAGCACTGCATCTCAACTGTCAGCTGATACAAACTGAGGGTCAGGCACTGCCACATTTTAAGGTGAAATACATATTTATTAGGGTGCTCCAGAACGAACCCACTGGCACTCTTCATTTGACAGAATACATCTGGCCCATGGGGCAGGAAGGGGTAAAGGCTCCCAGTTAGTGGCAGAGGCCACATCAGGGGACTAGGGTTTTCTTGGATTCTATCATCTCTGTGTAGATGCAGCCAAAGAGCCACCATTTTCCCAGAATCCTTTATTCCAGCAGCAAGTCTTTTGCCCTTGCCACTCCTGACTCTTCAAGATCCAGGTCAATTGCCCTCCCCTCAGTCACTCACCCAGTGGGACGTAGGGGAGAATACATGGTCACTCAGAAGCACACAGGAGGGCACTAGTAAGTGGCACCTGGACATAAGCCTAACAGTAAACAAATATTTCTCTTGAAATGATGGGGCTGGGGAGGAGGGAACTGTACATCCCCCAAAAACTCAGTCCTGGAAACATGGAGATTCTGTATGCAGGGCACGAGAAACTCAAAGTGGCCTGTGTATTGCCAGCCGCCCTGCACACAGGAGGGAGTTCCAGATGGAAGTGCAGGGTATCGCTTAGGTTTTCCTGGTTATTCCTGCTGTTAAATGGCGACATTCTACCTGTGGCCTTTGTTTTAGTTATCAGTTCATTTTTTTAAAGAAAGATTAAATAGTGGGGAGTCAGGGAAAAACAACTGCAAGACAACGAAAAGTACAAAAACCAGATGTAGTACAGTATTTTATAACCAAAAGCTGCTGAAAACACCATGCAAACGTAGACATTGACGATACACAATGGGGGCTGGGGGTCGACAGGGAAAGCAAGGCCGGGGCCACAGGCTACACCAAGAGCCTCTCAATGGACTGCTGAATGGACTGGATCTGCTGCTTTAGCTGAGAGCCTTCTTTGATGGTGACAGAACAGGCGATGACAGGCCTGGAGACCCCACAGGCCCGTCCCAGGGCCTGCTTGGAGCGCACAAACACATAGGGAACATTCTTGTCTTCACATAGCAGTGGGAGGTGCAGGATGATCTCCAAGGGCTCAGCATCTGCCGCCATCACAATGAACTCAGAGATGCCTCTGTTGAGGGTTTTGGTGGCTGTGGAGACAAGTATGTGAAGCCAATAGATAACATGGACTTGGGCAGAGCAGCCACTACAGAGCAGGGAAAAAGTAACACGAGATCCAGGGAAATGGGTGAAATGCTTAGGCACAGCCATTTCTGCCTGGAGCAGCCCTGGTATAACAAGGGAGCAAACACCAATTACCCTACTGCTGTCCTCAAACCTTATACCTTGAACGGCCACTTTTTTCCTCCCCTCTGATCCCAAACCTGTCCCAAACTGCCACCATCTCTTTCCCAGTCAACTCCAACAGCTTCCCCATAAGGCCCTGCCAGCATCAAGCAATGCTTTTTTCGTTTTAACCTGCCACCAAGGCCTCAGGTCTCTGCTCAAACTTCGCTTCCTCAGAAGAATGAATCTAGCAAGATGCAAAAGCCCTCACCCCAACTTCTATTTTCCTTGACCACCAGACATGAACATACATAAATGATACCTTCCTTCACTATACACTCCAAGAAGAAAGGGACTTGGTTTTGCTCCCCAGAGTTCACCAGTGTGGAGACATGTGCCAGCACATATTAATACGTTAATACAAGAGGACGGGAGATGCAGCTCTTGGCAGAGTGCTTGTCTAGCATGCAAGAGGCCTTGGGTTTGACCCGAGCACCGTGGGATGGCTCTGATGCATGGAGAATACAGCAAAACAGAGCTACATGAATGGATTGCTTTGCTTTCTGTCAACAACGTAGGTAAAAGATTCTCATGCCCATAAAATCTTGAATGTGAAACATGCTTGATGTTTCAATTAATATCCTCAGAGACAAAACAACTCTGACACAGAAAACTATTTGGTGTTATATATTTTCTTTGGGCAGAAATACCATGGCATACATCATTATTCCACTGAACAAAAGGAAACCACTGCCAGGCACAGTAGTGCACATTTTTAATTCCAGCACTGGATGGAAGCAGGAGATCAATTCAAGACCATCCTTGGCTACACAGTAAGTTTGTGAGGCTCTGCTTTAAAAAGAGGGAAAAAACACCACAACTTCTGCAACACACAGTGGGAACTACTTCTGGGAACCAAATGAAATTCACTAAAACTATGGTGTCAGATACTGGAAAACATTAATGTACTTTCGATGGTTCCAAGGAGAAGGTACAAGTCAATACACAAAGTTTTAAAATTTAATTTAGTGTATGAGTGTTTTGCCTGCGTAAGTACACCCGTGTCAATGCAGTACCCACAGAAGCCAGAGAGGGTGCCAAATCCCCCGGAACTAGAGTTACAGTTATTAGTTGTCATGTGGGTGCTGGGAACTGAACCCAGATCCTTTGCAAGAGCAGTCAGTGCTCTTAACCACTGAGCCATCTCTCCAGCCCCAATACAAAAAGGTTTTTTTTTTTTTTGTCTTTTTGAGACAGGGCCTCCCTGTAGCCCCAGCTGTCCTAGAACTCACTATGTAGACCAGGCTAGCCTTGAACTCAAGAGATCTGCCTGCCTCTGCCTCCCGAGTACTGGGACGAAAGGCGTGCGCAACCACGCCTGGTTTCCAATACATAAAGTCTTAATAACTGCCTTTCAAGTGATTACACAAAAATAAAATGCATTTACATATTGAGAGAAATAAGGCAAATACAGCAACTACATCCTAACACACTAGCCTTTAGCACCCAATGCCAAAATGCAGCTTTCATTGGTCAGTCAAGACTATCTGGAGTGCAGTGGTGACCCAGCTATCCAGGAGGCTGAGGCAGGAAGACTCCTTGAGTCTAGGAGATGGGGGAGAGGCAATAGAATACTAAACTCTACCCCCCTCCCAAAGTAGAAATCCAGATGAGACCCAATGGAAACAGGTGTGTGAGCATCTCCCAGCACCATCCTGCGGCTGCCTTACCCTCATTTGCGCCTTTCCGAAGCTGCTTGTAGTTACACGACTGCTGAACAAGGTCCAGTAATTTCTTGGTGAGGTGGGCATCTGCAAGGGGATAGGCCTTGGGATTAACATCGGCCTCCGTCTATGGGGAAAACACAGGCATCAGTTAAACTGGACTAGAAGCTGTTTCAGATAAATGACAGAATATTAATCAACAACACACTGGCAGCTTGATTTCCTCTGACCTCATTTCCAAACACACACACTATTCCAGTTCAGTCTGGGCTAGATGAGACCCTGCTTCAGAAAACCCAGGGCTGGACAGATGGCTCAGGGGTTGAAAGTACACGCTGACTGCTCAGATTTGCCAAATCAAAATTAAGCTAAAATTCACAGTAAACACAGCATTGACTTCACTCTCCACCTGTATCCTACATGTAAGTCTATCTCCCTCTGCTCTCAGTGAGAATACTGGTTCCTAACACATTAAAATCCTTCAACCCTATAACATATACAAAATGTTTTCCAAATTGCGATACATAATACCACTTCCACCAATGAACTAACCAAGGCCAAGATTTCCTACCACAGCCATTCAATTAGAGTATTTTGTTCAGAAGTTATTAAATTTAATTGGATATTGATACAAAATACATAAAAAGCATAGCTCAGAAGCCAAACCATGCAGACTGGGATGGAGGTCAGTAAAAGTGCTTGCACAGCTTGCAAATGGTTGAGGCCAGACTGTTCTACACAGTGGGTTCCAGGCCAGCCAGGGCTACTTAAGACTATTTAAAACAGAAACAATGAAAACAAGCAAAAAAAGGGAGGGGAAAAGCTAGAGAGATCAGTTTGTAGGGATAGGTGAAATTCTCCCCCAGTTTTCTTCATTTTTAATCTATTAACTAATGAGCAGGTTTAAGGGTTGATAAAAAAAAAAGTCTAAAACTGAATACAACGATGGTACGCAACTGTACAGATAGATAAAAAAACCACTGGCCTGGTGTGGCACATAAGCTTGGACTGCCAGCACTGGGGAACTGGATCCTGCAAGCCTGCAGCCAGGCAGGAACACAAAAGACAGAAGAGGAAAAATGACTGAATTATGCTTTAAGCTGATGCAGCTTGTGGTGTGGAACTGGAGCACTGGGACTGTTTTTAATGAACACACTGGCCCCAAACCTCCATTCCTTTGTGTCTTCTACTTGCCCTGCCTGGGCTTCCTTCTTTCCTTTGGATTTATTGTTTTTTCACTATGTTCCTCTCCACTGGCTTGGTCTATTATCAGGTCTTTATTTATTTATTATTTATTTATTTATTTATTTTGGTCTTTTTGAGACAGGGTCTCCCCTGTAGCCCCAGCTGTCCTGGCACTCACTATGTAGACCAGGCTGGCCTTGAACCCACAGAAATCTGCCTGCCTCTGCCTCCGAGTGTTGGGATTAAAGGCGTACGCCCAGCTATTATCAGATTTTTATATTCTTTTTTCTTCCTTAAAGAAACTTGCTAGGTTACCTAGGCTGGCTGTTAATTCCTAGGATCAATGGAGCCTTTCAAGAAACTGGAACTCCAAGTGCACATGTAGCCCTGGCTGGATTGAACTCAGAGATCCACCTGCTTCTGCCTCCAAGTTCTGGAATTAAAGGAGTGTGCTGCCTCCATACCTGGCTTATCCAACTTCTTTTAGAGACATGCTTAGCTATATAGCCCAGGCTAGCTAACCTAATTCCCTAGCTTGAACTATTTGGTCTCCCTAGATACCAGACAGTTGAAACATGCAAGATTTTGAAAAAAGTCTTACGAAATGATAGTCCCATAAAATTATAACATAGCTGAAAAATCCCCAGGTCCAGTGACACTAGTCATTAAAGTTCTAGCACTACCAATCTCCTGTGATGCTAGTTGTATGAAAATATAGTACATAAAGCCGGGTGTGGTGGTACATGCCTTTAATCCCAGCAGAGGCAGGTGGATCTCTGTGAGTTCAAGGCCAGCCTGGTCTACATAGTGAGTTCCAGGACAGCTAGGGCTACAGAGAGACTCTGTCTCAAAAAAAAAAAAAAAAAAAAAAAAAAAAAGTACATACAATAATTATAGTATAGTCCAGGCATGGTGGCACACCCTTTTAATCCCAGCACTCCGGAGGCAGAGGCTGGTGATCTCTGAGTTCAAGGCCAGCCAGGTCTACATAGCGAGTTCCAAGCCATATGGGGCTGCAGGGAGACTCTGTCTCAAAAAAAAAAGACCAAAAAAAAAAAAAAGTACAATTAGTGTACCATAAAAAATGTTTACTGTAGAGAGTGCACCAGCACATCCCGTCTTGGGATTGAATCAACAGGCCACAAGAGCGACTGGCCAGGCTTGATACAGTGGCACACATCTGTCACCTGACTTAGACTGAGGTAGGAGGGATCTCCAGTTTAAAGCCAGCCTATATAGGCCAGCTGTGGCTACAGTACTTTTCTTCAAAAATTCAGAGTGGCAAGTGTGACATACATTTGTTCACGCTCTATTCACAATCACCACCAGCACACATCCCTGTCCTTAAGCGATGCCTGACGGCACCGCACACCTCCAAGTACCACAGGTAACTCACTTTCCCATTAGTGATCAACATTGTGCAACGCATAAAAGCTGCTGCAGAGTTCAGCCCGAGAGCACGCCATTCCAAGACTTCACTGTGTCAAGCGCACAGGGCTATAAAGTTCTAGACTCAGCCAGTTACTAGGCAGCGTGGAGGTGGGGGCGGGAAAGTAAATTCATCCAGAGAGAGCTCCAAACTGTCCGATTAACTCTCATACGGAAATGAAGCGTAGCAAGCTCCAGTCCGCACTAGTAGCAACAGGAAGCACCGGCTAGAACGCTACACGATCCGACACACGTGGAGCTCCCAGAGCACCATCTGAGGCCACAGCCTCACAGTAGGGGTTTTCCTGAACCCGGCGGTCACCGCACACTACCCACGTCAACCGTCCCAGGGCATGGAGGGCTCCCGCAGGGCACGGGATGCCGGCTCGTGGCGGGACGGGGTGTCTGATCCGAAGCCCGGGATTCCGGTCATACCCTAAGGATGGCTGATGGAGAAGAGAATCTAAAACCGGATGGAGACCCGGCTCTCAAGTTCGCGGCCGCCGTCCCCACTACGCCATGCCCTCCCCCCCCCCCCCCCCCCCCCCGCCCCGGCCGGGGCCCACCACCCCCCCCCCCCGCACCGGCGCCGGGAGCACGCGC